CTAGGCCATATTAGCGTCGCCCTTAAGGACCCATCGTTGGGTACCCCGTTGGCGCCAATACGCCTGCTCATCCGTGTAGATGACCGCAAGCTTATCCTCGAGGTCGTACCGAATAAGCCACTCGTCTGGGGAAATACCAGAAGTGTAAGATCAGAGGTCAAGGGCCTCGATGGCGACCAAGATGGCTTTCTTACGATCGTGCACTACCCGGCCCAGGTTCGCGCCCCAGCCCTTCATAAACTGACGGGCGCGTTTAGCGCCAGAAGTGGAGGGTGTCAATCGTCGAGAAGGGTCGAGGGGCGGCGGCGCGGGCCTCAACCCAGCGGCTATTGACGGCCTCAACGAAGTCGAGCTGGTTAAGCCAGAAATCCTCAAATCGGAACCGGGGAGGTTGAGGAGGGCGGTCGTTCTCGGAAGAGAGGAGCAGGGGAACATGGTCAGACCCGATCCGGGTAATCGCGCGAAGCGACGCTAGGGGGCATCGCAGTTCCCATTCCGGGGAGATCAGGACTTGGTCCAAGACGGAGCGAGTCGGGTCTGCCTGACGGTTGGTCCAGGTAAATCTGGCACCAACCCTATCTAGTTCACGGAGGCCTAAGTCCGCGATACATTCGTTGAACATCTGCATCAGAGGGTAGTTGATCATGTCATGATAGGGTATTCGAGAGCCTCCTAACATTGACACAACTGATCACGACCAATGGACTACAGCAAGGCGACTGAACGACAACACCAACCACCTCTTCAACTACGCGTGAGTACAAGACCATGACCATTATGGGCAACAATGATGTTGCCACTTGCCAGGATTGTGACCGTTCGCAGTCACTCCGATCAACACAGCCTCTTGTTTAGATTGAGATTATGCTTTCATGCTTATGCTAGTGAGAAAGACATGCTAGACTTTCCTTCGGCTTGCTGAATGTATAGTTTGCCTTTCAGCAAAAAGAAAAAGGAAAAAATGGTATAGTTTGCCTCTTATGACAGATTCCATAAGCAATATGCATGCCTTGTTGTTTCCTTAGATTAAACTAAGAGTATGGCTAGATCTCAGTCGATTGAGATTTAAACAAGTCTCAGTCAAGTGACATAATATGCAAGAGAGAAAAGGAAACAACTGGAAATAAATTTTTACACGGATCTTGATGTATCATCTATAGGACTTAACGAAGTCTCTGTCGACTGAGACTTAGCAAAACGGTTAAACTAATTCGAGTGTTGCTGATTACTTCAACAGGTTCATGCTTAATTATTTCAATATTTTAAAAATGCTTTATTATGTGTTCTTTTTCTCGGGGGAAAAGGGTTTCCATTACTCATCCATAGTCAGATCCAACTCACAGTTTTACAACACCATCCGGGCCAGACCGCATGGGGTTGTAAAATCAACAATCAGAATCATTTAATATCAACGAGGAATTGGAGGCGATGTACTTTGTTAATGTTCGGTTGTATGTGAACTGTGGCGAATAAACTCGATTCGGTTTAGATTGTGCTTTGGCATGGTGACGAGTCAAATTATGTTATCGTATGGTTGCCACGCTTTCAGTCTATATATTCTGAAACACACAAATAAATATTATACTCCCTTCGTCCCAAAATAAGTGACTCAAAAATGACTCAACTTTGTACTAACTTTAGTACAAAGTTGACTCACTTTTGAGTCACTTATTTTGGGACGGAGGGAGTACTTGTTTGTTACTCCATTACACTAGTGTCAGAAACACTCTTATATTATGGGGCTGAGGGAGTAGCAATTTAAGAAAATATTCTGGGAAGGCACGAACCACCGACTAGTCTAAAACACCTAATCCTGGCAGATTATCATAATCGAAGCAAAGCTAAACGATAACAAATTTCGTATATATAAATGTGGTGATGCAAAGGAAATTATCATGAAGTTGTATCAGACTACATAATAATTGAGATAAAGCAACAAGGAAACTTGTGGGGGAAAAGGACAATAGTATTAGAAAGTCAAAACAACTGCTAATATTGTTAGAATTTGATTTAGCTCTCTCTAAAGACAAAGAAAAACATGTTAGTATGTTTGCCAAGTCTGTTTTAATGTAAAAAAAAAACAGGGAAAACATCAAAGGACATGATGACAACAGCCATTCCTTACACTGGAAATACCAGAGTTACACTTATTCACTATGCATAATATAGCAGTAGAGTAGCAGAAGAACCCTGACAAAAAATTGCAGAACAAGCACAACACCACTGTAAGTAGCAAATCATACTGCATGATTCACTGGACATTCATTACAAAAAAAAACAGAACAAAACCACTGAGCACTAGCAGTTTAAGCTCAACAAAACTGTTGCTTAGGATAGACAAATAGTACATCAACTAGACATTAAATGGAGCCGTTTCCACATCATATTATAGGGAACTTATCTAGCTATATTAATATCACTGAGATGCTATCTCCTGAAAAAAGGAACACTGCATACTCAGGTGTGATCAGCAGCCGGATTATACACCATGCTTCACATCAGTGCACCAGCGCCGCATTTCAGTAGCAGGCTACGCATCTTGAGCTACTGGTGTGTATCAGCAAGCTAGCAGAGTCAACCTAGCTATCAGGTTCTATTAGCACGGACCCTCAGAACTTCCAAGTCCATGTCGTCAGGGTCAGTTGCCTGGATCTCAAAGTGCACCCCGTCGAGCTCGTGGCGGAATTGATTCCTGGACACAGCATATATGGTCTTTGCACGGATGCGAGAATCATCGGGAGACCTGAAAAGAAAGAGAACAGCTGTAATATTGTTATCTTCTTAGGAATTAGCAGCAGCTACTTTTGACAACTGACAAGAATACCCTACAAAAATTGAAACAGAAAACCAGGTATTCAGTACCATGAATGGAAAATCCATGGATAGTCATGCAGTGCAAGTGATGTGTATCCCACATGGACACTTCATCAAATTTTAAAAACGCTATCCCATGAAATCTACAATTTAATTAATATCTTACCAAATATCAACGTGCAACTAATACATCTTACCTAATATAACGTGCAACTAATATCCTACCTAATATACACGTGCATTGCACATACACGATTACTAGTGTACTGTGTACACAAACATTCTTGTCTAAAAAACATTCTAACCACTGATAACTGAAAAGGATTGTCAAGTGCACTGCCGTCAGCTAGCCCCATTGTTACTGAATTGCACTTTTGTATTCGTCCCTTTGCTGTTATCTTTGCGAGGTTACATGGAAAAATAAAATGTTTCCTTTGTAGGATATATTAGAGAATTAAGTTGGCCGTTGGGTTAGCTTGAAACATAATGCTTATTGGACAGAGTATCATGTAACGCGTATGAACATCCTAACCAGTAACCACCGAAAGCTGAAAGGACTGTACAATGACTGGGGTTAGCCACCCCCAGTTTTACTGAAGCTGTGCTTCTGTATCCACCCCTTCGCTGTTTAAGTGTTTAACACAGCAATAAATCTTTTTGGAGAATTATCATAGCAATAAATTATTTTCCACAATTAACACAACCATAAATCCTTTTGAACAATTATCATAGCAAATAAATAAATATATCTAGACAGAATCTTCAACTCTGTAACCAAACTGAATTCAGTCACAGGTGACAAGAAACAGGGGGCAAGAAAGACAAGGCTAACCAGGAGATGAAGAAAATCTTGCTCTTGCGGCAGTTGTCGTCGCTGACGAAATCCAGGTCGTAGACGGCGTAGCGGCAGTCGTCCACAGGCAGCGAGGCCGTGAAGTCGTCATAGCTCTCCCCGGGCGCACCGGTCTTCTCGACCACGACCTCCTCCGTGCTGTCGTCGATCTTGAATATCACGTACCGGTGCACCTTCCTCCTCTTCAGCTCCATGAACGCGCTCTTGCTCCGCTCCGGCACGTCAATCCACGCCGGCGAGTTCCCACCCTACACAAACAACCGGCCAGCTCCCCCGTCAGCCACAGAACAACAGACATTCCCGCTCGCTCGGTTGCCAAGATCGGCGAAAAAGAAAGGAGAAAACAACAACCATGAGCGTAAACCCAAGAAACTCCATGGTGCTGTTGCAATTGCCGCCGAGGAAGCCCGGCGGAGGGGTTAAAAGGGGAGGGGGGGACAGGGGGTGGGGGTGGGAACTCACCAGGCACGGCCACGCCAAGGCCGCCGCCGCCGCCAGCGCCATGTGCTCTCGCTCGCCAAGATCCTGGTCTCGCGGCGGGGTGGCGCTGGTCGATCCGAGGGAGGCGGGCGGGCCGAGGGATCGATCCCACGGGCGGTGGAGGAGATTGGGTTGAGGTGGGATTAGTTTAGTTTTCCGATGGGAGGCGGGATCGAGAAAGCGTATTGATGATGGGATCATGGGATTCGTGCGCGGCGCCCCGCCGCGTCCAGTTGAAATCGGCACCTTCAACCTAGATTTGGGCCATCAAACAGGCCCAGTCTGTGAACCAAATAGTAGTCTCTCTCCTATAGACGGCCCTGCTAATAAGGAGAGCCCGGCCCAATAGAAAGATTATTTTCTTCCAAAAGTGGTTTCGAAGCGCGAGCTCTATGTCTCGCATTAAGCGAGATGAATGGTTCTCCAAAATCACTTATTAAGTGGTACTCTTTGCAATCCCTCAGGAAAAAATAGTACTCTTTGCAAATGTCACTTCCATCTTCTCAGATTGTAACAAGTGTCGCACTACATGTGACTCATTTGTCTCAACCTGTGAGTTTTTCCTTTTCCGTAGATTCGTTTATTCAAAATATTTTATCTCTCAAACCGTGCGTCAAATCTTGAACAGTTTTCACCGTGGAACTCCTCGCGTCGAGATATTCAAAATTAGATCATATATTGATAGGTTTCGATGAAAAAATTCCACAACAAAACCCAAACTGGGAGCACGTTTTTTCCCTTTCCAAGAGACACGTCCGTGCCTCTCGCGGAAGCATATATGTGCCTCCACGAGAAGTAAATTTTCATTTTTGAGAGGCACGACCGTTCCTCGCATAAGCAAATTCGTGCCTCCATGCGAAGTAAGTACGTGCCTCTCGTGGTAGAAAAAAACATGTGTTTTCCCTTTTGTGAGAAAAACATTCGTGCCTCTCGCGTAAGCACACCACGTGAAAAAAATCTGTGCCTCTCATGTAAGGAAAAAAAAATGCATTTTATTTTCCTTTTTCGAGGAGACCGACCCTGCCTCTCGCGAAAACATATGCGGGCCTCCACAAAAAGTAAATATGTGCCTCTTGTGGAAGGATCGTGTGTCGGTGCTAAAACCGGCGGATCTCGGGTAGGGGTTGCGGAGTTGTAGTTCTATGAACAATGGTAACAAGGTAAGAGGGAGATAATGTTTACCCAGGTTCGAGCCCTCTTGAAGAGGCAAAATTCTACGTCCTGCTTTGCTTGTATTGATGTGATGGAGTATAGAGTACAAAATGATCTACCTCGCGATCGTATGATCATGTTCTATACCCTAAGGTTTATAATCGTGTCCCTAAAGATTAAACCCCGCAACTTATATACAAGCGGGGGTACCTAGGTTACACATATGGTCGGTTGCTAACATGTCGGCTATTAAGCTATCCTTGAAGTACAATGTCAAGTCTTTGGAGGTGTCCACCTGGGTTACAACGAGGTTCAGAGCTCCGGAGCCCTTCCTTGTAATGATCGGTGGGCGTAAGTTCGGCCCATGGAGTGTGGGTCACATAGATTAGTACCCCTTAGTCCAGGACATCATTATCATGCCTCTCGTGTAAGTAAAATCGTGACTCCACGAGAAGTAAACATGTGCCTCTTGCGGAAGAAAAAAATAAAATGCATTTTTTCGTGTAATTGTTTTTCAAAAAAAAAATTGGTCGAAAACATAGGAAAAACCGGGGGAAAACAAAAAAAAATCATCTAAAAGCTAAAAACGCATACGGAAAAGTAAAAAAAAATTCGGAGTGAGTATTCAAAGCGCGACATATGGCGTTGGCTGAGAGCACGCCAAGCGGCGCGCTCCCAGCCCACCCCAAGTGGCCCTTGCGGGGGCTCCCGAAGGAGTACTCCTTATTTTTTCTAACACAGTACAAACGCAAGTGCTCATATATACGCGCATACAATCACCCATATAAACATACACACGCACATCCTACCCCTATGAGCACCTCCGAGAGACTTGGCTGGCATATCATGCTTGAGATTTTACGAAGCGTCTGGGGTAATCGGGCCGACCCATTAAAACATACTTCCTCCGTCTGGAAATACTTGTCGGAGGAATGAATGTATCTAGATGTATTTTAGTTTTAGATACATTCATTTTTATGTATTTTTTCGACAAGTATTTCCGGATGGAGGGAGTACAAAGAATAGAAAAACTAGGAAGAAGGGGGGGGGGGCGTGCAGGGACCAGGTCGCTTCGATCGCGGACTACTTGAGGTAAAAGACACGCTTTTTTTATTTCTTGTTTTTTTCTTCATTCGTGATTACAGAGTAGGCGCGGACTACTTGACAAATAGTCAATATTTTTTCGTTTTCTTTTGTTTCTTTTCTTTTTTTTTCTCCATTTTTTTATTCTTTTGCATTTTGTTTCTTTGTTATTTTTCATTTTCATTTTTCCTTTGTTTATTTTGTTTCTTTTTTCGGCTTTCTTTGTTCATTTGGTAATTATTCTACATTTTTGTATATATCAACAACATTTTTCTAATGCTCGTCTAACATTTTCCAATACAAATTAAACATTTTTGTAATACATGCTCAAATCTTTTTCTATAAACTTTTTTGAAAATAATTCAAATCCCTGATTAGCATTATTTAAATACAAAATTAACATCTATTGAACACATGGTCAACATTTTTCTATACAGTTTTAACTATTTTTTAAATGCCTGATTGACAGTTTTCTTATAAAAATATTAACATTTTTAGTACATGTTCAACATTTTTTCTATACACATGTAACATTTTCCAAACGCTTCATTAACATTTTTCAAACACTTGTTCAATATTTTTTAAATGCTTGATAAACATTTTATATACATAATAAAGTTCATTATTTTTAATACATGGTCAACATTTTTTATATGCACAGTTAACATTTCCAAATGCTTGATTAACATTTTTCAAATACTTCTTCAACACATTTTCAAATACTTGATTAATATTTTCATATACATGATCAAATTGGTTCATCATTTTTGCTATACACATTTAACATTTATCAAAAGTTTAATTAACATATTTTTTAATTCTTGATTAACATTTTTATATACACGATCGAAAAATGTCATCATCTTTTCAATGCATGATCAATAAGTTTTCTATTTGCATTTAACATTTTTCTAAATGCTTGATTAACATTTTTCAAATACTTGTTCAACTTTTTTCAAATACTTGTTCAGTTTTTTTCAAATGTTTTTGTAGAGTGTTTTTGTAATATTTATATTTAGCAATTTTTAAAGTAGAAACAAAAGTACAAAAATAAAGCAAAATAAGATAGCAGAAAAAGTAGGTCATGGCCTTCCGCGCGCGTGGGCTCGTCCATCTCGCTCGGCCCTTCAGCGAGTCTGAAGGTGGACTCGTTGAAGGCGAGACATAGGGGCACCCGCTTGGAAGAGCAACTAGTTAGCGGGTACCCTCGCAGGAGGAACTTCCCACGGAGCACATCCGTCGCCACATGTTGCATGCTGGAAGCACCCCCACATGGCAACCTTTTTTGATTTTTGCTTGTTTTTAGGGTTTGATTTTTCTTGTTTTATAGGGTTTTTCTCAAAAAAATGTTTTATTTTCTTTTTCTTGTGTTTTTTCATGGAGCACGTGTGCGCAAAAGTGCTCCACACGTAAGCATGGTCTCTACTTCACATTAGAAGCATGGATTAGTACTAGGCGGGAGGGTTGAAACAAAGGACAAAAAGTACCAAATAACCAAAAAAAAGATACCTAAAACTCCCATCAGTAGATCATAGCCTCCCATACTCCTGCACCGATTGAGTGGACGGAGGAGTAAGAGGGTAATGATATACCAATGGAGGAGATGTGGCTGCAGGGGGGACCCTAGAACGCCATTGGAGAGGGAGGGTATTGCATGTATTTAACCTTTTTGAGAAAACAAATTTGATCCTCTCGTGCTACTACACTCTGAACTAAAAGTCGGTGCATGCACCCAATTCATTTTCACTCAAAGCCGTGAGTTTGTAGTCTAATTGCGCTCTCTCATCAAACAATACAAGGAGGTTGTGCATTCATTGGAACCTATCTTCTTTTCGTGGTTTTCTATTCGAGACATTTGAAGAGGCGTTTAAAACTAAGGATATGAAGTTTGATTTTAGTGTAAAATAATAAGAGCTCTGGTCCTGGAAACAAAAAACATTGTAGCTTTGTATATTTGACATATGCGATATACAAAGGGTATGTAGACACTCTGAGACATTTCATACAAATTTGTGAGTGAGATGAGCACGTTTATGCCTTTCTTGCCCTAATAGTCTCGCTCCCGTGTCACCTGAGGGGCGACACCTGGGCACCCCAACCCTAGTCGTCGGAACCCACCTCCACAATCAATCTGCCGTTGGCAATGGCAAACGCATGTTGCTCCTGAAAATCGGGAGCTGGTGGGTGTGTATCTCTCTCCCTCAAATCCAAGCCCATACTTGTGGGGGAGCACGGCTCTACGACACTAGATGTTGTGGGTTGGCAGCCCACCTCTGTCTCCGATAAGCACACATCTCCGACGGTTAGCCACCCTCTAGGTGTGACATACGTCTACGGGGCGGATCTGCATCCTCCGTCTGCGGGCATGTGGGGCGCCATTCCTGACCCTCCCGCCATGGTTGCAACGGAGTGGCGTCCTGCCCCTGCTTTGACTCGTCCGCTCTAGTTGGGCTCTTGATGACCTTGACGTGTTTTTGCTTTGTTGGGAGAGCCACCATCGACTGCTCTAGGAGAGGCATGCCCCCCGAGCTCCCTTACTTTCCTCTCCATATCCAGGTGGTCCTTGCAATGATTTAACATCCCCTTCCCCCAAGCTCTTAGCGTGCTACTACAATGCTGGGAGAGTCACCAACGGCTGCTCCAGGCCTGGTCCCTTGGCTCAC